GAGCCCAGAGCGGAGAAACAGTGGAAAATCGCGACCCTCAAACCGAAAGGGCAGACACTGGGGTTCTGCAGGTTAATGCTAGGCCTGGGGGGTTCGGAACTGAAAGACGAGTGGTCACAGGAAGGGGACAAGATTGTTCGGCTGTAATACCCGGTCCCGCGTCCGTGCCGCTCTCACGGCACCCCCGCCCCGCCCCCCTCCTGCTTCTGTGCAGGAGAAGGGGTGTGGCTGTGTGTCCTGGAGAAATGGCGGACAGGGGGGCGGGGCAAAGGGAAGGAGTGGTTGAATGCCTGGGGAGTTTGCGCTGGAGTGGGGAATTGGAAGGGGAGGGGAGAGGAGGGGAGGGCTGAGGTGAGAAGAATTGAGGGAATGGAGAGGTGGAACCATTTGTCATTCTCCTATATGACTGTTGAAAGGCAATTGTTGGGACGTGTCCTGGGTTTGTTACATCCACCAGGCTCCAATGTCGGCTGTCTGTATTTCTGCCCTGCAGTCTGTCCTTAAGATGAAGCTCTAACTGAATGGGAGGAGGGAGAAACAGCCCTGAATCCTTTGAGGTTAGTGTGAGGGTGAGAACTGTGGGAACCCCTGGTGTGGGTGTGGCAGAAACTAGGGCAGATCTGTGACCAGGGGTTCCTCTTCCCCCATCTTCTCCTTTACAAGACACCCTTGCCTTGGGCCTATCGTTTTCTGTGCAGGGAAAGGGGTGTGGCATATGCCGCCTTAATTAATGGTTACAGAAGTAAGGGATACCAGTAGAAAGAAGAGGCCTGTGAGAGAGAAACTTGGCCCACAGGAATTCAAATCAAGAAAGGAAGCAGAATCCTTCTACCAAAGACCCCAAAACCCTCTCTGGGATCTCTCCACAGATCTGTCTGCCTTTTGGGCCCTGCACAACTACAAGCCTGGTGGAAAAGGGGAAACTGCTCCTGCTCACAGCAAATTGGTATGTGAATGACACCACCTGGAGACCCTTGGGGTCATGGGGGGGAGGATCAGAGCACAGTCAGGAATCTCTGCTGAGTTTTCTGCTCTCCACCAGTTTTCTTGACATCAGTACTGCCTCTCATTCCCCATTTAGGTGCTGGGAAATTGTATTTTGGCATTGGGCAAGGCAGGCTAGGAATGAAGATGTAGAAAACGTTGGACAGCCAGGGTCTTGAATCAGCAAACACAGGCCTGTACACCTGTGTCTGGGTACTAGCCAACCTGCCAAGCATTATGTCCCCCAAACTCTCCTTTAAGTAGGCCCGGTTAAGCACAAAGTGAGCCAGAGCCCTAAGCCTCATTTCTGTCCTTTACCTCAGGTCCTGCTTGACTTGCAGCCTCTGCAGAACTTGTGAGCCTGAGTTGAAGTGCCTTGCCCTGACGTGCACACATCCTGCTACAGCAAGCCAGCTCCACGCCTGGATCAGAGAATCAACTGCACCATGAGCCGAGTTCGGGATGCTGGCTGTGTAGCTGCTGGGATAGTGATCGGGGCAAGTGCCTGGTACTGTGTCTACAAATACACCAGGAGAAGAAACCAGACAAAGAAGAGACTGGCCAAGCCCAAGACCAGGGCTCTGGCCGGGACTGGAGCCAGGGCTAGATCTGGACTAAGGGCTGGATTCACAATTGACCTTGGGCCAGGATTCCGTCCCCCAACCCCAGTCTGCACTGGGGCAAAGAACAAGGCCCAGGATGAAGCCTCTTCTCTGGATGCAGCTGCAGCTGCGGTAGTGGCCCCAGCTGCATCCAGTTCTGAGGTTCAGAATGGGGCTGGAAGTCAGGCCCTGGAAGCAGAAGGGGCCAGGGTTGGGCCTCAGACTGAATCAGTAGCTGGGGCAGAAGTGGCTTCTACAATGGCACCACCTCACAGGGAGGCAGAGGCCCCCACAATGGCAGAGGCTCCCAAAATGACAGATGCCCCTGGCACAGCAGAACCTCCTAGGGTGCCAGCAGTGCCTCCTGGGACGCCAGCACCTACTGAGGCAGCAGCACCTACCGAAGCAGCAGAGGCTCCTGTACTGACAGTACTTTCTGAGGCTGCAGAGGCTCCGGGGGCCTTGGGGTCCCCCAAAACAGTGGCAGCCACCAAGAAAGCAACTCCTGGGGCTCATACTGGGGCTATACCTAAGGCTGGGTCAGCAACTGGAGCTGTACCCAAAGGTGGAGCCAAGGGTGGAACCAGGTCCCGGACTGGAGGCAAGGGCAAGGGCAAGAAAAACAGCAAGGTTGAAGTAGACCAACTGGGGCTGGGATTCCGCCCTGGGGATGGGGCTGCAGCAGCTGCTGCAGCCTCTGCTAATGGAGGACAGGCTTTCTTGGCAGAGGTTCCTGATTCTGAGGAAGGGGAATCTGGGTGGACTGACACAGAGTCGGAGTCAGACTCTGAGCCTGAGACCCAGCAGAGAGGGAGAGGGAGGAGACCCATTCCCATGCAGAAGCGCCCCTTTCCTTATGATATTGATGAGATTTTGGGTGTCCGTGATCTCAGGAAGGTACTTGCTTTGCTTCAGAAATCGGATGATCCTTTCATCCAACAGGTAGCTTTGCTCACTCTGAGCAACAATGCCAATTATTCATGCAACCAAGACACAATTCGCAAATTGGGAGGTCTCCCAATTATTGCAAACATGATCAACAAAACCGATCCCCACATTAAGGAAAAAGCCTTAATGGCCATGAATAACCTGAGTGAGAATTATGAAAATCAGGGGTGGCTTCAGGTATACATGAATAAAGTGATGGATGATATCATGGCCTCAAACCTGAACTCAGCAGTACAGGTAGTTGGACTAAAATTTTTAACAAACATGACTATTACTAATGACTACCAGCACCTGCTTGTCAATTCTATTGCAAACTTTTTTCGTTTGTTATCTCAGGGAGGTGGAAAAATCAAGGTTGAGATTTTGAAAATACTTTCGAACTTTGCTGAAAATCCAGATATGTTAAAAAAGCTGCTCAGTACCCAAGTGCCGTCATCATTTAGTTCCCTCTATAATTCTTATGTGGAATCAGAAATTCTTATTAATGCTCTTACTCTATTTGAGATCATCTATGACAATCTCAGAGCAGAAGTATTCAACTACAGAGAATTCAATAAAGGTTCCCTTTTTTACTTATGCACTACATCTGGAGTGTGTGTTAAGAAAATTCGAGCCTTAGCAGATCACCATGACCTCTTGGTGAAAGTGAAAGTTATAAAACTAGTTGACAAATTCTGACTGGCTATGTGCTCTCAAAAGACTTGAAGAGATTTCTTGGTTGTGCAGTCTGGAAGCAATGAAAATTGAAAGTTACTACTTCTCTACTTGCTCATATAGTAAAGTGATCCTTTCAGCTGCCAGTTTTGAATAATGTATCATCCAGAGTGATATTATCTGTGACAGTCTCCAGCTTTAAGCTGAACCATTTGATGAATACCAAATAAATAGTCCTCTTGTACTGAAAACACATTTGTGACTTTAATCGTGCTGCTTGAATGGAAATATTTTTATTGGCTCCTCTATGTGAATTGATAGTGAACTTGTCCATCATTAATAGCCTACATTTCTGTCATTTGTTTTGACTTAAATCTATCCACCAAAGACTTCATTTGTGTATCATCAATAAAGTTGTATGTTTTGACTAACAAAAAAATTGTTCTTGTGCTTCAATTTAAAATCTAACTGGAGAGATAAGGTGTGTAAATACAAAAGGATTGCTAACAGTACCTAAGCATATGCCCATTGTGAAATATGCTGTCTGGCTAAATGAAGCAGAAGTTGCTTAGCTTCAAGGAATAAGGACACACTTAAGCTGGGCCCTGGACAGCATGAGAAAACAGAAGGCCATTCCAGGAAGGGAAAATGGCTTAAAGGCACAGAGGTGGAAAATCTGTTCCTGTGATAAGGTAACCAGCTTGACTGGAATGGAAGCTGTAGGAAGAGGAGTAATGAGAAAGTTGTTAATGCAGGGTGAGAAATATTTGGGAAAGATCCTGATCCCAAGTTGAGATATTGAAATATCCTCTATATTCTGGGAGTTACTGGATATTTTTGACAAAAAGAAATCTGTTGGCAATGTGCAAAACAGATTGAAGCTGGGCTGGGGTTAGATGTGGAGGCTGGAAACAAGAATATTTGTTTGGAATTTATGATAAACCAAGCATGAGATGATGAAGAATGAAATAGGGTGGTGACTATGGCAACTGGTAGGAAATGATGGTCATAAGAGACTCTTACCAAAAAAGTACCAAGATCTGCTGTCTTATTTGGCTGTAGGTTGACAGAGAGGGAGGATTGTATAATCTGGTGCAGGTCCTGATAGAGAAAACTCTTTCTTGGGCAATTCTGGTGACCAAGTAATGCCAAAGTGAGTTATCATTAGTAATGTAAAGAAAGAGTAGTGTGACAGATAGAATGACTCTTGGTGCAAAGAGTGTTTTTCCCCCTTAGGGTTAGAGGTGTACGGCTGCCTTCTTTTAGAAGAGGGGCAGTGGTGAGAACTTTATGGAACTTAAGAGCACATTCATCTTCCTTCCTCTCCTCCCTGGCCCACTGAAACAATGAAAGAAGAAAGTGGGAAAAGTCTCAGAGATTTTCCAAATCCTGCCCGATTTCTTGCCACTCCTTACAAAATCCTCATTTGTGTTCAACTGTGTGGTTGGCTGTAGCAGGGCTAGAGGTTTGAACTCTAGGGAGGCAGACACATAGAAAAGGGGCAGATTGGAGTTATATATTGGTACAACTTATCTGGAAGACCACTTGGTAATCTTCATAAGAAGCTTTAAAGATGTACATGCCTTTCAACAAAGCATTCCACTTGTAGGATTTTTTTTCCTAAAGAAATAATCAAATAATTGTACACAGAGAAATATATAAGGATGATCATTTGAGCACTATTTCTATGGGAGAAAAATTAGAAGCAACTTAAATGTCTAACACTAGGGAATGGGCTAAACAATAAGTGGTATGCCCACAGAGTAAAATATTATGCAGCTTTTAAAAACTGTTGTACTTCTATAATATTGGCATGAAAAGACATTCGCTCACCAAATGTAAGAGTCAGTCAACAAACACTTCTGCAATTGAAAGTGGTTGAAAATTCTTTCAGATATTTATTATGTAATCTCTGTGTATTTTTACACAGCATTGGAATCATATACATCAGTGGTTCTCAATGTGTAGTCCACAGACCACTGCAGGTTCCTGAAACTATAAGGTCAAAATTATTTTCAAAACAATACTAACATGTTAGTTGCTATTTTCACTAGGTTAACATTTGCACTAATGGTAAGTATAATTGCTGGTGCTTTAGCACAGACCAAGGCAGTGTCCCCAAACTGTACTAGTAGTGGTTGCTTTCCTTATAGTCACACACTCAAAAAATTTTTTTAATCTAGTTTCATTNTTGGAGTAACTTAACTACACACAGAAATGACTGAGGACCACTTAAGCACATCCCATCGAACCCCACCGTATTACTGTAGCTGAATCCCAAACCCCAAACCCCCACATGACCTCAGCCTCTCTAACACCAGCCACCATGAGGGAGGTGTAACAAAGGCGAACTTCCAGTAGAAAGAATTGGCAGGCTTATACCCTTGCATTTTAACATGTTTTACTTTTGCAAATTTTCAAAAGTTACGTGATCCTGTCGACCCATTGCTAGGGCCTTAGAAAGGGCCCATGTGAGTGCGGGGCTCTAAAACTTCAGCTTTGTTTGCTTCACATTAAATACCTCCTCCTCTGATCACAGGCACATGGTGAGAATATGAACCCATAATATCAATAAAGTGCTGAGCACAGTGCCTGGCACACAATGAGTGTTGGGACACAGTAGCCGCTGTGATAGTCTTGGCAGTACTGGTGTTCTTTAAGGGGCTGTCTCCCACAACACTTCTTTGTTTTTCTTCCTGAACGTCCTCAAAGGACTGAAACAGCCTTTGACTCACAATTTTCCACCTCTGGGTGGACATATATATATATATATATATATATTTTAATCCTCACCTGAGGATATTTTTTTCCATTGCTTTTTCAGAGAGAGTGGAAGAGAGAGAGTGAGAGAGAGTGAGAGAAATATCGATGTGAGAGAGACACATCAATTGGTTGCATCCTGCACGAGCCCCAACTGGGGCCGGGGATTGAGCCTGCAACTGAGGTATGTGCCCTTGGTCAGAAATGAACGTGGGACCCTTCAATCCGTGGGCCGATGCTCTAACCACTGAACAAAACTGGCTAAGGCCCTTTAATATTCTTTGTGGTAAAATAGAAAGTATGCGCAAAGCACTAATCTGCATAGCTTAATAAAATGGCTGTCTCAAAGAAAAATATTTGCACAGTCATTTGAGTTGTGCCTTGAATTAGCTGATTTTTGAGTGGAAAACTATTTTTACTTGAAAGAATGACTGGCAGAAAGACTATGGCTTTTCTAACTTGGGTATTGGGCAGACATTTTCTTGAAAATGAATGAAGTGAGCCTTCAAGGAAAACAACTGACAATATTTGTCACCAACAATAAAATTTGAGCTTTCAAGCAAAATTAGAATTTTGGAAAATTTGCATGCACAACTGTAGGCTTGACAGCTTATAATAGTTAAGGGTTTTCCTGAAGAGATAAGTGGTGATAATAATGAAGGGGAAAGCTTTTTTCTTTTTATCCTTTTAGGACAGAAATGATATAGCATTCTTGGGCCCAATGTTGATCTTACTCAGTTTTACTGTACTATTGTAACCCATATGACATAGAACACATGGTGATTTAATAAAGAATATCATTGCTGTGGTAACAAGGTGACTCTACGTCGGTCTAGACCCCAAGATTGTTTGAACCTTTTAGACCCCAAGATTGTTTGAACCTTTAAGAGGGAGAACCTGAAAAGATATCAATCCTGAAAGAGTAAAGTCTTATTCTGAGTGAGGTAAAGGTAGCATCTGAGCTCATATGTTGAAGATGGATGCATCAGTATCTCTTGGCTTGATCCTACCTATTTGGGTAATCTAACTGGCTTCCTCTGCTCTGACTAGCATTGGAAACTTCCATTCCCTTCAGATGAAACAAATGCCCAGGCAGAGATATGTAGTCTGGCCTTGTGACTGAGCTAAGAATCATAATAGGCAAATATTTCATTTCCTAAAGTATGTGTTTTGCATCTTATATTGCATCATATGTGAAAAATCAGTGTAATAGTCCAGGTGTGGTGAGATTTAAAAGGGTAGTTCTTTGGAAAGATTTAACTTAATAAAATAATAACAATAGGCACCAGCAATTAAGTACTGGCTATACAGTGTTCTATTATTCCTGAAATGTGACTGTTGAAACACTTCTTAGGCATTCTGTACTATAGGTTTTACCTTTTACCGGGGCATGAGTGAAGTGGGACAGTCCTCACAACCAAGTTTTCAGTGAATATTCCTGTCTTTCTTGCTTTAATTTATTGGTCTGGGTAAGCAATTGGATCCAGAAATGATCATGTTCTTTTTTTAAAAAAAGAATATGAACTGCTAAATGCAAGGAATGATAACACAGGTCTGTCATTTTGTGATAAAATACAAGGATGAAGTGATACAAACTTCTGCTCTTGAAGTCGCTGGAGCTGCACTTGTTTCCACTCTTTATCTGTCCAAGTTATTCAACTTTTCCATTTTGTGGACCCTGAGAAAGAAGATGCCTATTAAGAAAGACTCCTGGTGGCTAACTGAGCTTACGTTAAAAACAACAAAAAAGGAAAACCTAGCAGTCATTTCTACACATTGGTCTATCTCACTCAAGCCATGCTAAAGTTTAGAGAGAAGCCTGTACTAAACTGCCTGCCTGCACTGTATTTCTGCCATCTGAGCTTACCCTTATAAAGGAGTTTCAGGAATTATATTTCAACCAATAGGACTAAGACTTTCCCTATCCATTTGGAGCTTTTCAGCTATATCCCCACTAGCATCTTCACTGACTAATGAGAGTGGTTCCACTGTGATCTATCAGGCCATCACTTTTTGGGCCAATCAAACTGTGGAAATTTAGAGTCTTTATTTGCATGAGAACAAGCCAATCAAGGACCAGAGACAGGGACTTATGTTCATATAACTCAGCTCCCCTCCAGGAGGATGCACTTTCTCTTTCCACAGAAGACAGAAAACTGTGTCTCTGGCTGGAGCTGAAACACTGAAGATGAAAGACAGAGATGGCTCACTGGACCAGAGCAGAGCAGAGTGGACTGGAACAAGTGGAACAGACCAGAGCAGAAAAGAGCTGTCTAGCCCAAGATGGGCCTCAACCCAGGGCTGTCTGATGCCAGGGCCTCCTCACAACCCTGCTGTTCCACAGCCATCCTGCTTCATAATTGAGCTGTAATACTATTGATCTGTTCTCACAGCCATGCTGTGTCAAAATTGAGTTGTTTTCACTAAATAAAGTTTTCTTCTTCACTGCACCCCAAATTGAGGATTCCTATTGATGTTGAATTGTAACCAACAACCATCAGTTGACATTCCCTAATAAGGTATATCACAATAACCTTCCTTAAATTCCCCTTTTGTACTTAAGCAAAAGACTAGAGACTAAGAGTAAGACCAGAAATGGGGTTGTAAGCAATAGTCTCAAGAAAACATGAGATATTTGAGTTGAGGTGGGCAAGGTGCAAATGAGATTTCCTTCCACCA